GCCGGAGGAAACCTTTAGTGAGAGACCTGCCAAGGCGTCCTCAGACTGACAACAGCTTTTCAAAATGCCATCCAATTCAGAGGCGATAGGGGAAGCTCGGTAAATAAACCTTCCTCGGATGCCACACTCATCCTCATGGCATCCCAGGACCTGGCAGCACGGTGGTGCGGCGACTCATCCATCAAACATGTTGTTTGTTCTCTCCCTGCCAGGAGAAGCACGTGGAGGGCTTGTTTTGGTAGGGTTGTTTGTCTTTTTTAACTTATTTTTTTGTAGTTGTGCTCAAGGACTGAGCTGTCAGCGAAAGCGGAGGTGCAGGCAGATTCCCATAGGAGAAAATTCCCCCTTTTTTTGCTAATAAATGATGGAGCTGCTCCAAAGAGTGGAGAAGATGATGAGCATGCTCTGCCCCATGCCCTCCTAGGGACTATTTCTGGTAGGTTTTTACTATTCCCTCCTGAAAAAAAAACTCATCAGCCATAAGTTTTAACTTCCACGAAGTCAGCGGCAGAGTCCGATGCGTTTCGTGGCCTTATTTGCCAGGGCAGATCTGAGGAGCCCTTATTTGTGAGGCCCCTTGGACAAGCTCTCCCTTGCCAGCGTGGTGTGGGCATCATGGGCAATTTCGTGCTGCTCAGGGATGCCAAGCAAACCTGGCACCTTTGCTGCAACCATCAACAGGAGTGCAGGAATTTAGCTACACTCAAAAACTGCCGCCTTCCCAGGGACATCATTTCAAGTCCATGGGATACAGGGAGTTGTAGTCCAGCCTCTGCCTTCAGGCAGGGCAAGTTGACATCACGGCTCCGGTGAAAAAGGCTGTTCTAAGCAACAATTTCCAAAGGAGGCCAAGTAATTATTTCGCTCAGATAAGCCCAGGAACATTGTGTGAAGCTATGTGCACACAGCAATAGTCAAGTGCACTGAGCAAGGGAATTCAGAGCTGTCAGCAAGGAGGGAAATACTACTTTAGGGGATTGGAAACATTCATAAAAAATTCCTGGCTCCCAGCCTAGTCCCTCTTGTTGCCGGCCGTGTTTGCAGTTGTGTTTTTTTTGCTTCGAGGATGGAGTCACAAGGAGATTTTTTCTCCCTTTGCTGCAATACATGGCCAAAAAGGCACATCTTAACCTGGACTACTGAGTGCCAAGCCTTTGCCAACCAAAGCCTGCCCGGCACCATGGGGTTTTGCAGGACTGTGCTGGCTTGTCCGTGCTGAGCCTCTGGCTCGCTTTCTCACAGGGACCAGCGCAACAGCTGTAGCATGAGCCCGAGATGTATGCATGCAAGGCGTGCTGCTGACATCAAATTTTAAGTTGTGGGCGTCCAATGCTGCCTTTTCCAGACTGTGAGAGTCCAATTCCCCGAACTCAGAGGAGAACCAGCCAGGAAATGTGGGGTTAGGATGACACTTCCCAGATGGCCCCACTGCATAACCTTAACTCTGCCCCCCTGGGAATGGCAATAGGAACTGGAACAGGATCTTATCCCTCCTTGGCTGTATTTGATACATTCCCTCAACATAAACTCAAGATGTCAACATAAAGCCAAGGGATTTGAAGGCTACGTCTATGCTGTTAAATAAGGGAGGGCCACAGGTTTATCCATGGCCCTGAGGTGGATGGCCATGAGGGATGGAGAAACATCATTATTTTTGGCTTGTGGCCGGATTGAGTTGAGCATCTTTGGTCATGATGCAGGTGGGACTGATGCCTGGAGGCATCTGGATGGGACCCCCTGGAGGTTATTCACTAAGTGCCCCGCATGGGCATGGGAAAGGAGTGTTGGTCCTCATTGCTTGGGAGCTGGGCACTGCAGCATGGCAAGCTGAAATGGTTTTGGGACCTCTGGCTCATAAGTCACCCTGTATGCCTTACCCTCGTGAGGACCTCTCTCCATTTTAGGCCAACGTGTCTTGACTTTCCCTTTAGCATGTACTAATCATCAAATACTATTTTTCTGCCTCGCTTTCCTTTCTTGCCTTCTTTTCTGCCCCCCAGCAGGACCCATCGTCAGCGTGTGACCTGGGCACTTGAACTGCCCTTTTTTCTAGTGCAAAAAACTGACACAACATAAAAAATAGAGAGCAATCTTGGTAGTCCCCTTCTGCAGTCACAGGATTTATCTTCCCAGCCCTTGCAATACCCTCCCAGCCCCGTGAAGCAATCCATCTCTCACCTGCTATTACAGAGTTCATCTTGCAGACCTAATGGAGTACGTGAGTCCTGAATTGGCTCCCGCTAATGCTGTCAGTGGCCGGGTCGCTGTGGGAAGCGAGCTGGGAATTCATTTTGAAAATCAATGAGGACGTCAATAGAGCGGCTTCCCCCAGGGAAGCAGCATGCTTTTACCAGGCGTTGCTGCCTGCTCCCCTTCGTCCCCCGTTTTCTTTTATGCGGTCGGAGTAGCCACAGAGCAATTCATCCTGCTTTCAATGACTGTGTCTTTTGCGCTGCGCTCTCCAGTTTCCGCAAATCATACTGATTTTTGGGAAAAGTTTCAGGTGTCCTAGCAGTGCGGGATTCACTGGATTCCTCAAAATGTTGTGATTTGAATTTGCTGTGCCTCAGTGTGATGCTGGGGACCATCTCCTCCGTGCAGCCCCAGCTCTCCCCTTAGGAGAACTTAGAATAAATTGCTGTAATTTCTAGCTCCCAGGTGTATTTTGGCCTGCCATGGCTTTTCCATGCAATGGCAAGTGCGGAGCCTGCAGGGATAGTGTTGGAGGACTGCTTAGGGCAGAAGGACCCCAACCCACTGCAGTTCACAGTTGTCCCCAGAGACAACCTTTGTGCTGGGATGGGGACACAACACCAACCTGACATCCTCACACCATCCCTGGAAGAGTCTTTACCAAAGACCAATGTCATGGGCAATTCTTGGCCATGATTTGGGAGGTAGCGAGACCGGGGGGCTGTTCCTGAGACGCACTTTAAGTGCAGCTCCCCTGTTTTTGATAGCAACGTGGGTATGGGCTCTACCACACTGGCTGACATCAAATCACTTGATTTGGGACTAAGATCTGGGACTCGTAGAGCTCTCGATTCCTTTTCCAATGGGGATCAGTCTGCACTGCTACGGCATAAATATTTTATAAGAATAAGGGTCAACGCACTGTTTTGTCCAAGGACACCGAGATGGCTATTTACTCCCATGAAAAGCACCAAGGAATCTTTAATGCCCATGCAAAGGAGGCAGAAATTGGAGTTTTAAGCTGTCATCCCCCACCATTAATGTCAACATTAAATATTGATCCTTTCTGTGTTTAGCACAAACCAAACAACAGAGTCGAGCCACGCTCTTTGGCTTTTATTAATGTACTTTTTCTGCATCGGGTGAAGTTTGCAGTAACGCCAGAAAAAAAAAATGTAGTGGTGGTGAACAAGGAGCAGACAGATCGATTTTGTATCTTGACACGATTCAGAAGGCGGTGAAAAATCACCCCATGTGGAGCATCTCCTTGTCCGAGCCGTGACAGCCATTTCACAGAGAACACATTTCTCTGCAGCACAAAAGAGTCAGGCCCAAATTTCTGGTAGGATCTGGGATTTGAGGGAAGGAATCGAAAAAAGAGATTGGAAACTGTAAAACCCCCCTCGTCCCTGTGTCAGAGCAGGTTCCTTTATGGGTGCCTGAAGTCAAGTTTGAGGAGCAGGTGAACATCCCTAAACCAGTGGTGGCCAGAAAATGGGTGGATTTACCCAGGGAAAGATGGCTTTTTTGTTAGGGTTTGGGTTTTTTTCTGCATTTTGCATCAGCACCAAATAAATGTAAATCACAGCTATTACAAAGGGTGACTAAAGTAAACCACGATGAGTGGTTTTCACATGCCAGGAGTGCATGCATCGCAGGAAGACCACGCATGGTCTTCTGCATGGTCTTCTGCCTGGTCTTCTGCATGGTCTTCTGCAGCCAGAGATGGATCACCTTTCCCAAAATATTCTGCAGCTTGTGGGTTTTCTGGGTTTTTTTGGTTTGTTTTCTTTGTAATGGGGGTTTATAGCTTGGCTATAAAAATTAATCCCTGGTTCAAATTCTTGGAGCACGCTTATTAGAGGGCTGGAGTAGCCAGGTGATTATTCCTGACCTCTGGGATATTCTCCATTGAAATGAATTTAGTATTTTAAAGTGTATTTCTCCTTAAGCAAGGGGAGCAGGCACTAGGGGTCACATCTTGGGTCTGCATCCCATTGTACTAGCAGAAAACAGCAGGAACTTTTTTGAGGTCACAAAATTAATAGAGAATTGTGGAATGTGGGAATATTTTTAATCTCTGCTGTCATTATGTCCATCCGCATTCCCACTCCATGCCTTAGTTTACCCAACTGTAAAAGCATAGCAGTGATGCCCTCACACAGAGGGATGGGGATGACTTAAATCATATCTCTAAAGCCACCTACAAAAGGTCCCTAAGAAAAGACAGAAGCAGAAATGGCGATGTGAAAGCTCTTCTCTTTCTTTTCCTTTTCAACCAGGTTTTAACAACCCACTGAGCTCCCTGTGAATTGGGCTGACGTCCCCCAGCCATCTCTGCAAGCCACTAAGCATGTGGTGAAATATGATAAAATATTTATTTCCCTAGATGGTACCTATCATAGAATCATAGAATGCTTTGGGGTGGAAGGGACCTTTAAAGGTCACCTAGTCCAACCCCCCTGCAATTAGCAGGGACATCTACAACCAGATCAGGTTGCTCAGAGCCCCATCCAGCCTGGCCTTGAATGTTTCCAAGGATGGGACATCTACCACCTCTCTGGGCAACCCATTCCAGTGTTTCACTACCCTCATTGTAAAAAATTTCTTCCTTATATCTAGTCTGAACCTATAGTTGCATGTTCTCCAAGTAGAGGAGCCTGCTGCTGAGTGCATCACTCAGAGCTGTAAGCAAACCCCACTGATTTCCTTAAATGCCAGAGCACTTAAGTAAGGAAAATCCTGGGAACACAGACTGTGGGGTGACTGCATCCAGCTGCTCACCGGTGTGTTTTTTCCCTTCACAGATACCCTGAGGAGCATCGCCTCCATGAACCACGCACCACGGTCCTCCCCGGCAGAGCTCAGCGGTGCCAGCCACCACCTGCTGCGAGAGCGCAAGTCCTCAGCGCCATCCCACTCCAGCCAGCCCACCCTGTTCACCTTCGAGTCACCTGCCAGCCACCTCCAGAGCACCCTGTCTGCCAGTGCCCCCCAGGACTACCTTTTCCTCCACCAGTGTATGAGCAGAAAGTCAGAAAACGCAAGGTATTGTAGCCCACCTGGGAGCAAACCCTGGGGACAGCTGAGGGAGGGCTGGGGATGAGCAGCTCAACCCACTGCAGTCCTTGGAGGTCTGCAAAACAGAGCTGGAGAGGGCCCTGCGCGACGGTCTCATCTCATCGCAGTTGGGAGGAGGAGGCTGGAGCAGCGACCTTCCAAGCTCCCGTCTTTCCTGGCTTTCTGGGTTGTATTAAAAACTGGCTGAATGGCCAGGCCCAGAGGATGGTGATGAGTGGCACAAAGTCTAGTTGGAGGCCAGTCACTCGCAGTGTACCCCAGGGGTCGATACTGGGTCCAGTCCTGTTTAACATCATCATTAACGATCTGGATGATGGGGCAGAGTGTACCCTCAGCCAGTTTGCTGATGACACCAAGCTGGGAGGAGTGGCTGATATACCAGAGGGTCATGCTGATACACCAGAGGGACCTCAACAGGCTGGAGAAATGGGACAACAGGAACTTCATGAAGTTCAACAGGGAGAAGTGCAAAGTCCTGCACCTGGGCAGGAACAACCCCAAGCACCAATGTATGCTGGGGGTCACCCAGCTGGAAAGCAGCTTGGCAGAAAAGGACCTGGGGGTCCTGGTGGACACCAAGCTGAACACGAGACAGCAACGGGACCTTGTGGCCAAGAAGGTTAATGGTATCCTGGGCTGCGTTAGACAAAGTATGGCCAGCAGGTCAAGGGAGGTGATCCTTCCCCTCTACTCAGCACCGGTGAGGCCACACCTGGAGTGCTGGGTCCAGTGCTGGGCTCCCCAGTACAAGAGAGACATGGACATACTGGAGAGAGCCCAGCAAAGGGACACAAAGATGCTGAAGGGACTGGAGCATCTGTCCTGTGATGAAAGGTTGACAGAGCTGCGACTGTTCAGCCTAGAGAAGAGAAGGCTCAGGGGCATCTCCTCAATGTCTATAAATACCTGAAGGGAGGGTGCAAAGTAGATGGAGCCACGCTCTTTTCAGTGGTGCCCAGTGCCAGGACCAGAGGCAACGGGCACAAACTGAAACACAGGAGGGTCCCTCTGAACATCAGGCAACACTTTTTTACTGAGGGTGACCGAGCACTGGCACAGGTTGCCCAGGAAGGTTGTGGAGTCTCCATCCTTGGAGATATTCAAAAGCCGTCTGGACACGGTCCTGGGCAACTGGCCCTGGGTGGCCCTGCTTGAGCGCAGGGGGTTGGACCAGATGACCTCCAGAGGTCCCTTCCGACCTCAGCCACTCTGTGATCCTGCAGATGGGGCCCTAATTCCTGCCTTTAACCAGAAAAAAAACAAAACCAGAGGGATGGGCAGGGTTTGCACTGCTCTGCCATTCATCCCTGCTGTAGCCCAGAGCTCGCTGGGCTTCGCGGCAGCCCGTGGTGCACGATGTGGTATTTCTGAGAGAGCGACAGCTCTCCGCCTCCAGACCCAGCCGGTTGCCTTAAATAGCGAGGAGATTTTTTGGCGTGAAGAGTTTTGGCTCGCGAGAGCGGCAAGGAGGGAGGGAAGGAGGGAGAGACGGTCGGAGCCCAGCTGGCGTGAGGTGAGAACAGAGCCCCGGCT